AAAAAAAAAAAAAAAAGATGTGAAACTGGGTTTGTATTTTGCCAAGAAAAAGCTCTGACATTAACTGTCTCGGAAATGTGCCTATGCTCTCACCAAGTTCTTTTTTTTTTTTTTGGTACCGGGGATCAAACTTCGGTCCTTGCACTTGTCAGGCAGGCGGTGGAACCACTGAGCTAAATCCCCGGCCCTCACCAAGTTCTTTATGACAGCATGCCTGTCTTATCTGGTAAGGAAACCCTTCTTTTCCAAGTTATGAGAATACTTTTCTACGTTCGTGGTAGATTACTTGATTTTTTTTTTTTGGTACCAGGGATCTCGAACTCAGGACCTTGCCCTTGCCAGGCAGGTGCAGCGCCCCTGAGCTAAACCCCCAGCCCAGGAACTCCTTCTTGGGTGTCTGGAGCACCATCTCTCGCATGCACACACACTCAAGCACACGCATGATGCCTGCTTAGGCCGAGGACAGGGCCAGCAGAGGCTGTGGGGTGCGCTGTGTGTGAGGGCTCTGACCTGCATCCCAGCACAGCTAATCTTGCACACGGGGCAGTAGTGGAGATGGGGCTGTCTGGGGCCCAACCTGGGCTTCAGTAGTCGGCCGGGGCCCGTGGCTGCCGAGGACACAGATGCATCATAGCCTGGGGAGCTTGGTCCTAAGAGAGAGAGAGAGAGAAATCAGAGGTGGGCTGAGTCACTCCATAGGGTAACTTGGGCCAGCAATGCGGGCCCTGCTTGCTGAGCTCCATCCCTGGCCCTATTTTCTTGTTTTGAGTCAGGGTCTCGCTAAGTTGCCCAGGCTGGGCTTGAACTTGTAATCCTCCTGCCTCAGCCTCCCAGAATGCTGGGATTCAGGTGTGCACTGCCACACCTGGCTCTGCTGATGTCTTTAACAAGGTTCCCCTGCAGACACTCACCTGGCCGGCAGGGCGAGTCCTGTCTGTCCTGGGAGCTGCGGCTGGCTGGCGACCGTCTGGAGCTGTGACTGCCCTGCAGCAGGGTTTCCACAGCACAGAGACAGGGAGGGGCAGCTCAGGGACATGGTGACAAGCCCACACCATGCCCCCTGCTGGCCCCGGCCCCCTGCTCGGTGAGCGGCCCTGGTTAGGGACACAGCCAGGAGCCAGGTGGACACACAGCTCTCCCAGTGTTAATTCCCAGCAGCCTGGTGGCATTTACAGAACCCTGGCTGCTGGTGGAGTGGGAAGAGGGTGGGTTTGGAGGGAGAAATCCTCGGGCTGGGCCTTGGTGAGGAGTGGAGAGAGAAAGCCAGGCAGAGTGGTGCACCCTGCCTGTAATCCCAGCACTTGGGAGGCTGAGGCAGGAGGGTCCTCATGAGTTCGAGGTCAGCCTGGGCTACATAGCGAGACCCTGTCTCAACAAAACAGAATGGAGAGAGGAAGGAAGAGGGTAGAAGAGGGCTCGGGTCATTGAGTGGTCTCCATATTGAACAGGGATGAGGTGTGGGTGGCAGGGGCAGTGCGTTGGGGTTGGCACGGTTGGCGTGGGGTCCACGCTGCTCCCAGGGGACGCACACAGGCTAGATTCTTGGGGCCCGAGCTCTGGGTGTGGGCAGGTGGGGCTCACCGGCAGGGAGAGCCAGGACAGGGACTTCTCGACTAATTTATCTTTTTATAGTTCTGGGGTGGAACCCAGGACCTTGCACACACTGGGCAGACACTCACCACTGAGCCGCACCCCACCCTTTTAAAATTTTGAGGTAGTCTTGCTAAGTTGCTCAGGCTGGCCTTACACTTGCCATCCTCCTGCCTCAGCCTCCGGAGGCGCAGCTGGGATGACAGGCATATGCACCACCGAGCTGGGCTGTGACCCCAGAGACACGAGGCATGAAGGGAAGGGTACAGAGGGGCGGCCCTGCACTCGTTCGTGCAGCGCCAGCGACATGTCCTTGTGGGGGTACCTGGGAGGTCGGGGCTCCGGGCCCTGGTGGCTGGGCAGCAGGGTCCTCCCCGCGAGCAGTGTAGGTGGCCCCAGAGACCTGGAGGGGAAAGGCCGAGGGAGGCTTCGTGCTGGAACCACAAATAGACACAAAAGGCCCAGCGGGTCAGTCGGGGACCAAGTGTGCGAGCTGAACACGTAAATCCCAGCAACTTGGGGGCTCTGTCCACACAGCCGACCTTAACACAAGAGACCTTTCCCAAGCCTGGGCACACAGTGTGACCGTCCCTGGGGACCAGGTAGTTTTAAAAGCTGTCACGAGCTAACACCAGCCCAGCAGGGAAGGGGGTATCATTGGGCCCGGTGTATAGATGGGAAACAGGAGTGAGGGGCCAAGTCCAGACATAAATCCATTCCGTTGCTTCTCAGATAATCTACTTGAGCAAGTCTGTTCCCTCACCAAGACTCTTCCAAGTAAGCAGGATGTGGTGGCACACACCTGTCAATCCCAGCACTCAGGAGGCTGAGACAAGAGGATCGGTGGGGGTTCAAAGCCAGCCTGGGCCCAAACTTGTGCCAATCCTCCTGCCTCAGCCTCCTGAGTGCCGGGGCTGTAAGCGTGCACTACCACACCCAGACTAAACTGAAAATCTTGTAAGTCGAAAAAATATTGAATACATCTGACCCGCTGAATCTCCTGGCTGCCAGAAATATGCTCAGGACACGTACAGTAGCCTCGGTGGTGCAAGTTCATTTTAGACAAATCCTATTTGAGGTATTTGTTTTTGAGACAAGATCTCACAAAGTGGCCTGAGCTTGCCTCCACCTTGCGACCTTCCTGACTCATCCTCCTAAGTTGGTGGAATTACAGGCGGCCCGAGGTTTTGTCTCCAGTGGGGGGACTGCGCATCCTTATGGGACTTGTGTCCCTTCTGAGCCACAACATGGCACATGGGGCCCAGAGTGGATGGGGGCGGGGAGGGATTTAACACTGGTGACAGTGTGGCCACACCCGGCCGCCACCTCACTCAGGTCCAGTGTTGTACTGTTGTTTTCATTAAAGCCCTGCCTGTTTTGTGAGGATCCCATAGGTAACAGTAGTTTTTATTTGTGGGTGTGTGGGGGGGTTGTTTGTTTTTTTGTTTTGTGCCAGGGATCGAAGTTGGGACCTTGCACTTGTGAGGCAAGCTGTGGAACCACTGAGCTAAATCCCCAGCCCTGTTTTTGTATTTTTGAGACCAGATCTCATTATGTACTCTAGGTTGGCCTTGAACTCACTATGTAGTCTAGGGTGGCCTTGAACGCACAGCGATCCTCCTGACTCAGCCTCCTGAGTGCTGGGATTACAGGTTGTGCCCCCACACCCTGCTAGTTTTTACATTTTGAAAGGGTTGGGAAGAGTTTAAGGGGTACTATTTCACAATGCACAGAAATAATATGAAATTCAGTTTCAGGTCCAAAAGTACATGTGTTGGCACACAGCGGGCCCATTGCTGCCTTGGCCCCTTCTGGGCTACACAGGCAGGTTTGGCCAAAGTCTGTGTCCTGCCGTCGGGTGAGTCACGTTCACTCTGCAGGCTGGGTGGTGGTTTCTTCCTCCTGCAGGTCAGCCTGGCAGGACCCCCGAAAAGGAGGGCACACAAGCCAGGCCTGCCGAGGCCCAGGCTGGGGATGGGTGTGGTGTCACTTTGCCGGAGTCGGCTGGCCCACGCAGGGGAGGAAGACACACGGTGGCCAGGGCCACCAGAGACAGACTCTGTGTCTACACTGCAAGAGGAAGGTCATGGGGAGGAAAGGGGCAGAGTGACCTCTGAGCCTGGAGCAGAGGGTCTCGAGGGGGGGTGATTTAGCCCCCCGAGACTGCTGGACCATGACTGAGGCCATCTGTGGCTGGCACGGCTGGGGAGTTCCTGGCCTAGAATGGGTGGGTGGAGGCCAGGGATGCAGCTGGGCACCCTGAAGTGCCCAGGATGCCCCACAGAAAAGGGTTTGGGCAGCTGCCGTAGGGAGCTCAGATGGGGAAGGACAAGGCTGGTGTCCCTAGGGAGGGGACTGCAAATGAGGCCAGTCCTGGGGAAGGAGAGATGGCGGTTGGTCTGACTGCTGCAGTTGTCATCTTGAGGGCTTCGGAAGGCCTGTGTGTTGTTCTGGGGTGGTGCTCCTGGGAGTTGGTGGGCCCTTTAAGAGGCGGGGCCTAGCGGGAGGAAGTTAGGTCATAGGGGTGTGGCCTGTAAGAATTTTGGGACCCAGGTCTGTTCCTCTTCCTCTCTTTGCTCTATGGTGGACATGGGCGGTTTTGCTCCACTGTGTGCTCACCACGAGGTGCTGTCCTGTCACAGATTCCAAAGCACCGGTGTGAACCGAACAGGGACCGAAATCTCTGAAACTGTGAACCAAAAGAACCCTTTCCTCTAAGCTGATGACCTCAGGTGTTTGTTACTGTGACCGAAAGCTGACACACTGAGCAATGGCTTGAGGAAACCAAATAAAGCAGGTGAAGAGGAAACAGGAAGATGAGGTGGGTGTGGGGGCACACGCCCGAGATCCCGGCACTCTGGGAGGCTGAGGCAGGCGGACGGCAAGGCAAGTGCGAACACCTCCTAAGGGACTTAGGAGGAGGGTGGAGAGGAAGAGGTGGCCGAGGAGCAGGAAGGCCCCTCACATTCATCCAGGGAACACGGAATGCTCCTGCCGACCCACTTCACTGAGCGCTGTTTCCTTCCCTCCTTCAGTCTGGGGTGGAGCCAGGACTCCCACACCGGAGACAAGCACTCACCAGTAAGCTGCACTGCCGACCTTTTTCCGTTTGCAGACAGGGCCTCACCACACCGCCCGGGCTGGGCTGGCCTTGACCGTGTCCTCTCACCTCAGTCTCCAGGGTTGCTGGGAAAAAGCTGGTGATCCCCTTTCATTAGAGCCTCGGGGGCTGCGAGACTGGGCATGAGTGGACGTGAGGCACCGTGGAAGGCGCGGTGTTCCTTGCCTTTTTTTTTTTTGCTGTACTGGGTATAGAACCAAGGGATCCTGCATGCCAAGCACGAGCTCACCACTGAGCCACACCCCATCCCACAATGGTAGTTTTCAAAGATTAAAATATAATCCATATACCACAACTTTTTCTGGCGCCGGGGGATGAACGCAGGGTCTTTGCACTGAGCTCTGTCCCCAGCCCTTTTTAGTTTTTGAGACAGGGTCTAAGTCTCTTAAGTTGCCCAGACCGGGCTGGAAGTTGAGATCCTCCTGTCTCGGCCTCCCTGAGGGCTGGGATGACAGGTGTGTGCCACCGTGCCCATGTAACAATTATTCTTGTTTTGTTTGGGGGGTACCGGGTATGAACAGGGCACCTTGTGCTTGCGAGGCAGGCGGTGGCACCACTGAGCTGAGCTAAATCCCCAGCCCGGTAAGAATTATTCTTAACACATGCAGTTGAGTGGACTTTTGTGCATTCACAATGGTATGCAGCCGTCACCTCTCTCTAGCTCCAGAACATTCTGTCACCCTAAAGCAAGCCCCATCCCCATGAGCAGCCACCTGTCCCTCTTCAGTCTCAGCACCCACGAGTCCACTTCCTGTCCTGGAGTCGCCTGTCCCGGGCATTTCCTGTCCATGGAGTCCACACCGTGTCCTCTGTCTGGCCTCTCACTGAGCTCGGCGTCCTCAGGGTCCATCCACGCTGTGGCGAGCGTCACGGCCTCGCTCCTGTCCTGGCCGAGTGCTGTCCTAGAGTAATCTTTGCCTTTACCTTTTCCTAAACATCTCAGAGACTTCATTATATGCATTCTCCACACCAGTCACCTCCACCCCTTCCTGGCCTCTGGCAGCCAGGAATCTATTTCCAGTCTCTGTGGGTCTGTTTGGGACCTTTTGTATCCATGGAACCACACAGCATAGGAGCTTTTGTCACTTGCTTATAGGTAGCAGTTTAAATTCTGCAAGTAGCCGAGGTGCCAGGGGAGGGAGGCCAGGCCCTCTTATGAGGGCCCGACGTAAGAGGACCCAAACGCTGGGTGCCATGGCGCAGGCCTCTCATCCCCGCCACCCAGAGCAGGAGGATCGCATGTTCGAGTCTAGCGTGAACGATTTTCTAAGATTTTGTCTCAAAATCACAAAAATATATACATATTCTTGTTTTGTTTTGTTTTGAGACAGGGTCTCACTCTGTGTAGTCCAGGCTGGTCCTGAACTCACTATGTAGCCCAGGCTGGCCTCAAAGTCATAGCAATCCTTCCAGTGCTGGGATTATAGGTACGTGCCACCATGCCTGGCAAGAAAGAAAGAGAGAGAGAGAGAGAGAGAGGAGGAGGAGAAAGGAAGGAAGGGCTAGGGTGTAGCTTAGTGCAAAGGCTGTAAATTCAATCCCCAGGACTGCGGGGGGTGGGGGAAAGATGAACCATAGCAGAAAGGAGAGGCCCATCTAGCAATTGGAGAGACACCTGCAGCAACTGGGGTCTTAGGGAGGCAGGATCACTGGCTGGGCTGAGAGGGGACCTCTGGGGACATCTCATGGGGTGCAGGGCTGAAAGCTAGGGTACAGAGGACATAGGGAGCCTAGGAGGGGGAAGAGTGGGCAGAGATAACTCCTTTAGCACTGATTGTGAATGAAAAGGAGAAATAGGGACAAGAAGGGACAGTTAACCAGGCTTGTCATCTCAGCAGCCTGGGAGGCTGAGGCAGGAGGGTCTCAAGTTGTACCCAGTCTGGGCAACTTATCGAGATCCTGTTGAAAAAAATGTTTTAAAAAGAAGGGGTGAGATATGAACAGTTCCCATCAGCACGCGGCATGTGTCGAAGATCCAGAACAGACAGGGCAGAGGTGTCCCAAGCCCTGGTGGCCAGGATGGCCAGCAGAATCACAGCCACCCCAGATGTTCAGATCCTTGTCCCTGGAACCCGTGACATCACCTTCCGTGGCAGGACGGCTCTGTGGCTGTGAGGACGTGAGGCTGTGAGACGGGAAGTTACCTTGGGTTATCTGGGGGACCAGGTCAGAGGGCAGCAGCCAATGAGGGGACAGAGGCTAGGGCGATGGGGCCTCACAGCAAGAGACCTCTTCCCTAGGAAGGGAAGAGCGGGAAGAACCCAGCTCTGCTCACACCCCGATTTGATCTGATTTGATTTGACTTTATTTTTG